ATCCCTATAGAGCCCCAGAGCCCCACACCAGAGCCTACTACTGCCCTATAGGCCCCCTATGGGGTCCTATAGCCCTCCCTATATGGACCTGGGGCCCCTCACACACCCCAATAGAGTCCCTATGCAGCCCCCTCTTTATGGCTCCTTAATCCCACCCCAGACCTCTACAGAGCTCCATAGACCCCCGTAACCTCATCCCAGCCCCTTATAGAGCCCCACAGACCCCCCTATAGGACCTTATAGCCCCATGCCTCCCCCAGGGCCCCACCCCAGACCCACACCCAACCCTACAATCCCTCTACGTGCTGCTGTAGCCCTAACCTGACCCCTATGCAGACCCACAGCCCCCCCGGCCCCCCCAGCTACGTGAGCCAGGGGCGGATGCAGTGCTCGTAGACCGAGCGGTTGGAGTGCCAGGCCGTATGCCCCACACCCGGCACGGTGCAGCCCCCCAGGTCCCCCCGTGCCTCCAGTGTCTTCAGCCCAAATGTGTCCTGCAGGTAAACCTGGGGGGGGAGACGTGGGATGTGAGGGTCACAGGGGCCCCGTGCGTCCAGGCCGCCCCCCAACCACCCCAAGGCAGGGAACCCCAGTGTCCACCCCCGCCCCCCCCAAGTGGGGTGTCCCCTCACTCACCGCCTGGGCGCGCATCTCTTGCACCGTCTCATTGGCATCATAGAAACCAAAAAGGCTTTGGGGGGGGGGAGATGGGGGTCAATGGGGGGACCCAGGTGTCCGGGGGTAACCCAGGCATCTGGGTCCCACTGACCCAACCTGGGGGGGGAGGGGGGAAGGTCCCGGCCCACCTGGACTGCCAGGGTGTGATGACGCCGTCGTCAGGACCCCCAATCAGCACCAGGCTCTGGATCCGCAGCAGGTTCCGCTTCCAGTCTGGAGTTAACAAGGGGTTAAGGAGGGGCTGCCGGCACCCTATAGTGCATCTGGGGGTGGGGGGCGTGGTCTGGAGGTGCCATAGGGCCCCACTGCCGGCCCTGGGGGGAACCAGAGGGTGGCAGCCCTATGGGACGTCGATAGGAGCTAGGTGGGTACCTATAGGGAGCTATAGGGTTGGCTATAGGTGCACCTGCATTGCACCGCCCAAGTATCTGCACAGAAAAGGTGTACTGGTGGCTGTAGAGTCGTCTATAGGGGTACCTACATGGAGTTACATGAATATCTATAAGGGTATCTACAGGAGCACCTTCACAGACTATAAGCATGTCCATAAGGGTACCTATGGCGTATTCACACGGGCTATCGCAGCATCTATGAAAACATGTATAGAAGTATCTACGTGGCCCTGTAGGAGTATCTATAAGGAACTATATAATTATGTATGGGCACATCTATATGATCCTATATAGCTATCTACAGAGAACCACAAATGTGCCCATAAGAATGTGATAAGTCTCCATGGGAGCTCCTATTATCTATAGGAGTTCCTATAGAGATCTCCATGCAGGGGCGTCCGTGGGGCTGTAGGAGCGACTATAAGGATCCCGCATGAGGCTAGAGGGGTCACCACAGGGGTCCGCATGGGTCCCAATACAGGGGTCCCCCTGAGGCTACAGGAGTGTCTGTAGGGGCCTCTATAGGGGCTCACCGGAGGCGTTGGGGTGCAGCCGCTCGTCGTTGAGGAGGGCGAGGAAGTCGCTGCTGTTTAGGTAGAGCTCACGGTGGTGGGGGTCTGGGGGGGGGCCCCGCATCCACGGGGCAGGGGGAGGTCAGCCCCCATGTCACCCCCCCAGTGCCACCCCCTCCCCGGGGTCTGCAGGGGGATTTGTCCCCCTGGGGGTGGTTTGGGGGTCTTAGGGGGGTGGGGTCCCCCCATGGCAGGTTTTGGGGTGCCCAGGAATATTTTGGGGTTGGGGTGCCAGGGGGATT